ACACACACACACACACACACACAAATAATAATAAAATAAAATAAAATAACAACAACAAAAAAAGATAGTCTGCTTTTATATATATATATAAAATTCTAATTTTATTCTGGTTTTACTTACAAAGTTTGTATACATTGTTTTTCACACCAGATCCTTCCCCATTTCCTTTACACACCCCTCCCTTCACCCATCAAATTGAGCAACTCTATGATTAAGCTCTCCCAAAGTTTTATTATATAAGTTAACTTTTTGGGGGTGTTACTCTCTGTAGAGACCAATTATTTCAGAATATTTTGTAAGCTATAAAATCCTTATTGTACACTGAAATTGTACAACGTTTTTCCTCCCAAGGGCATGCAACCATGAAAATTATAATAAAAGTTTGCAATGCATTAGTTGGCCTGAGAGGATTCAACACAGTATCTTCTTTTTCTTCCTTTTTGGCTGCTCAGATGGTAAACCTTCATAAACATTCTGTACTAGGTCCTCAGAGAGCTTTCTATTCCCTACTACCTGACTCAGTACAAAAAATAGATTACTATTCTGGATTGGGGAGATAGAAGGAGATTAAAAAAAATGTTGGCAGGTTTACTTAAATTAAGCTTGCCTTAAAGCAGTGGGTAATTTAAGAGAAAAAAAAATAGAAAGCTTTTTTATAAAGACTGATTATAGCTTTAGAAAGAAAATAACCTACGTGATCACACGACTATATATCCACATAGGTTTTTCTCTCAATGTAGTTCTTCAACATACAATCAAAACGGAATAAGCCCAAAATGAAAGAGGGAAGAAATGATAGTAGAGAAACCTCTTCATGTCTAAAGGATGAACTTTAGAAGAACAATTTCAAGTATCTAATACATATTATATTAGAACTGGATGATAAATTATCAGTGTCTAACAGGTGTCTGACAAGGTTGTAATATTTAATGAAATCACATTCCATTAGACACCTTCCACGACATTCACTCACCTTAAAATTATGGAGAACAGAAGGAACTCTGATAGAGTAAGGTATATTTTCCAGAAAATGTTTACTCAGAGCTTTAGAGGTTACATGATGTACATTATCTTATGTTATTGCAGTAAATTACTTTTTTAAAACAACAAAATTGTTTTTTAAAATAAAAATTAGGAGATCTAAGGATCAATCTAACCCAAGTAGCAGCAAAGATACCAGAATACAGATTCTTTCCCACCCCCAATCATAAATTTTAGGTTCTTGTCATTATACCATGTTATTGTCTTATCAAGTAAAAAGAGAGACAGCAATGGGGCAGCCACCGTAATAACAGGATCCACACTTTACAGTTTATAAAACTTTATAGACAAATTACTACCATATTTAATCTGTAATACTGAAGGTACTACCATTATTTTGATTTTATAAGAGAACTGAGAGTTTAAAATACTGGAAATTGAAAAGTATTAGCAGGTGTGCAAGTGGCAAGGCGAGAAGGGACCCATTAATGCTGCCTTGAAGTCTAAAAGGTAACATTTCTGGTACTCATAGATCCTTCACCCACTAATCTTGAGATTTTAAATGAGCAGCACAGTCAAATGACCTAGAGTCAAATCAAATAACCTAGAGTCATTCATTTTATTCCACAAGAATGACTGGAAAATTCTAAAAACACGCCTTTAAACATAAGCCTTCTTTAACTAGAATTTCACACTAGAATATTTTAGGAACATACAGAACTTTAAAAATCTAAGATAGATGAACAGAACTGAAGAAAAAATAAAATTATTTAAATATGCACTATTAAAAAATATAACTTTACAGACAAGAAAACATTTTTATGTATTTATATATACACACACTCTCATGTACATAAATAAAATCAAGTCAATTACTAGAAACAACTGGCAGTATTAGTTTTATGTCAACTTACCACTGAAAAGCATTGTAATGGAAGTAGACCAAACCAAGACCATATAAAAAGGCAGCATTCTGTAAAGAAATGGAAAAAGGGACTTTTAGGAAAAATGTTATATCTAAAGCATAGGATGGTATTAATATATAGTTTCCAAGGTGTATTTATTAATATGATGAAGCAGTAGTTAGCAAAGAAACCAATTCATTTATAGAGAGCCCTAGTTCCTATTTAATCAAGTCTGCCCTGAAATAAAATATTTCTGTGGAGAAAATATAAAACTAAAATGTACTATTTAGGGATAATAAAATGCTCAGACTATACTACTAGTCTCTTGCTGGCAACTATATTCTCTCAATAGATTCACTCGAACTGGATTTAATTAAATTCTTCAATTGGATTTCATTTTCAGTTCACTATTGTCAAGTAGGTAGTCAAAATTCAAAGGAAATACACTAGAAAACAGAATAAATGTTAGCACTAAAATGAACTAAAAATATTACGTGCCAAATACTACAGCCACTTCTATGTGAGGCTTTCTCACAAATTTTTTTGTAACACAAAACATAAAGATGCCATGAATGCAGACTCATTTTGTCCTCTGACCTGAATAACAACTAGTCATTGTAGATCTTCAAAAAGGCAAATATTTGTGTTTTGCCAAAAAAACAACTGAATCTGGTTTTAGTAGAGCAAATTAAATTGAAGAAAAAAAAAATTTTGTATACTGATCTTCATAAACAAGAGATCACCAGGACATCCTATAAAGCATTACTCAGAGCCATCTTGACCTATGAGAAGGAGCTATGGATACTTAACTGTTTTCAGCCACTGGTTTGAAAAAGAATCAATAGTACTTAAAGCCTCAAATGTAAATAGCTTGGTGAAAGTAGTAGTGGTTTTGTTAGATACCACTGAGTTGACTATGACTCATAAGAGACTCTGAACAAAAGCTCTGAACGCTATCCCACCCTGTGACATCTCATCAGCTCTGACATATTTGAGCCCATTGCTGCTGTCACTGTGTCAATTCATGTCATTGAGGGTCTTCCTCTCTTTTCACTGACCCTCCAACCTTTCCAAGAAATATCTTCTTTTACAAGGAAGAAAAGAACATGCCCAAAGTATATGAGATAAAACTTCAACATAAATCATGTTGTTTATTGCCCTTATTATGCAAATATCAGCTATATTTCTATCACTAAAATAGAAACTCAGTAGCCCGTTAGCAAAGAAACTTTGCTTAGACCAAACCCCAGTAAGCACTAATAAACTTTCATCTACAAGTATCTGCCTATAGAATCATACATGTTCCTTGTGTTTGACTTAATATACTCAGCAACATGTTTATAAGGCTTATTTAGTTGCATGTTGTTGCTGCTGTTGTTAGGTACTACTGAGTCAAATAGGACTTAGCGATTTTGGTTCATAGCAGTATTATGAATAACAGATTGGAACCTAGTCCTATTCTGTTCCATATTCACAATAACCACCATGCTCAAACCCATTATTTGTTGCAAGTTGTTACTGTTGTTAGGATTAAGGACATAAATATGTTTTATATCTAAAATTGTTTTTTAAAAATCTAACTCTTACTCCCAAATATACTACTGCTTTTGAATCTTCCCTGCATCATTATCTTGGTCTCATTTTTCCAGTAATTTTTTTATTTGTTTTGATTAATTTGAACATTAAGTGGGTTGAAATCTTAATTATAGCTGCTTTGCTTTAGCACGTTATCAAGCACTTCAAGACTCAGGCTTTTAATTATTCAATATCATTCTAAATTCAAGACAAGAATTTGAAAATATAAGAACCTTAAGGTTTTTCATTAAAGTAATTTTGTCCCTCAACATCATCTTCCTACCCCACATTAACCTGCAAATTCACACCTGCACGACATTGAACAAAACACAAAACTGTATAGGAGGAGATGGTTTTCAGTCATTGTGGTCTCCTGCTTCAACAGGGCTTGAATGGAATCCAGAGTTTGCCAGTGTCTTCCCCGCAGGTCATTTCCAGCCAGTCCTCCACCATCTCCTCACATCAGAACCCCAGACACCCCAAGATTCTTGCCTCCGCTCCAGTGTAGTCACCACCTCTCTGCTCTACTACCACCACCATGACCACATCGCCTTCACACGTGTGCCAGAACTACAACCAGGATTCAGAGGTTGCCACTAACTGACAGATCAACCTGGAGCTCTATGTCTTTTCTGACTACCTGTCTGTAGACAGGTGATGTAGATGGTGATGATGTGACTTTGAAGAATTTTGCCAAATATTCTCTCTACCAATCCCACAAAGAGAGGGAACATGCTGAGAAACTGATGAAATTGCAGAACCAGTGAGGCAGCTGCATTTTCCTTCAGGACATCAAGAAATCAGATTACAACAACTGGGAGAGTAGTCTGAAGGCAATGAAGTATGCGCTAAACTTAGAAAAAACTGAATCAGTCCCTACTCGAACTGCACAAACTTGCCACTGACAGTAACGATCCTCATTTGTGTGATTCATTGAGATACATGACCTAGATGAGCAGATGAAATCCATCAAGCAACTGGGTGACTATGTAGCTAACCTGAACAAGATGAGCACCCCGGAATCTGGACTGGCAGAGCATCGCTGATAAGCATATCCTGGGAGACAGTGATGGTGAGAACTGAGTGAAGCTTTAGCCATGCCACCTGCATTTTTCTTTATTTTACCTTTTCTATAAATTGTACTAAAATACCCACATAAGTTCTTTCATTTGTACTGTTCCTTCAGATAAAGTCATTCAGTACCCAGCTGTTGTGTTGGAGACCTCATGGGACAGAAATCTGTCTAAGCCATTTCGGTAAAATTCTTTTGTCACCAAGGTGTCTGCTGTAATCCCATTTACTAAAATGAAACTTATAAGGGGGGGAGAGGCCTAGATAAAAGCTAAATCCCCTATAGAAAAGCTCAATAATTATGTTCAATTAAGAAAGCAAGCCAGCACTAGCTTCTTTCTTTTTTTCAGCACTAGTTTCTGAGTTCAGATATATAGCATTAAAATTTTCAAACATGTACTGAATAAGGTAATAAAAGCATTAACTCGAACTCTTTAGTGAATCTGCTTTAAGGACATGAATTGTTTATAACTGCATACCCAGAACATATCTAAACTATCTGTACAAACTTTGAATTCTCAAAATACTTAATACCCTTCAAAAGTGTTATTATAAATACCCAAGATATTATATGTTAATATATTATTCTGTTTTATTCAGAAGGCTGTAAATTATATTTTATAGCAACTCTATCAAAATCATTTTAAAAGGATTTTTAATAAGTCAATGAACTAACTGATCAATTTTTTGGGTTGTTTTTTTTTAAATGGAAACTTTTTATTTAACTTATTATCTGCTTAGTTTTTTAATTTAGTTATGTATAAAGACCCAGTTAATCAACTCAATAGATTGGTCAAGGCAATACACTTGAACAACGCAACAGGATTAAAAAAGCAATTGGTCTGTTAGTAATTCACTGGGAATCACACAAACATACACATACATACTAGTAAAGTACTCTGGATATAAGATTTCCCTTCATAATCTTTAATAATCAGAAAAATCATACTCATAAATACTTTCATGAACCAAGTTTAAAGAACATCATACATTTTCCATCCTGGGAAAAAGAAGGGAGGGGGGAACACTCAGAAAAATAAAACTTAAAGAAAAGGAGTTATTGGTTTGACTTAAACAATAGTCACCCAAAAAATGTGGTATTTTTTTATTAAATTTTATTAGTTTTAATGAACATTTACAGAGATTTTGGGTTTTTATTCATTCATTGTTGCACTGTTTTCTCCACCCTCATCCCCAGTTCGTTCTTCTTCCCCCCCCCATGTCTGTTTTAATTGTCCAATTGCCACAGTGCTTGTCAAAGCCAGTTCTGATTAATCTCCTTTGTCAGTGTGTCCCTTGCCATTCCCTATCACTCCTCCCTGAGAGAGACTTCACCCTGATTCATAAGGAAAAGGGGATGGCGTATTCTCTTAGCTACTTCCTGCAGAAAAGGGACGCTGTGAGTTTCAGGGTGAAGGTCTTCTTTCACTACTCTAAAGGGCCCCTTTGGCAGTAGGAAACACATAGACTATTATGGAGATTGATTTTGGAATTTAGATGCACTGTTATCAATTGTGCTTAGCCGTACATGTTCATATCCTTGAAGATGTATCATGGAAGTGTTGCAGCCTAGAAGATACAAATTTAACTAACAAGTTAAAAGTGCATGAGTCAAAAATTGAAAAGCAATAATATTCTGAGTAGTGGCACAAATCAAGTTACAGAGGTAAGGTGGTTCTTACAATAAAAGGCCTATAGACTAGCACTTTGTCTATTATAGTGTAGAGGTAAGGAACCACAAGATGTGGAGGCTCAGCTATGTCATTTATGGTTCTTAAGTCCTGGAGCAAATTCCATCTGTGTCCTTCAGAGCCACACTTAAAGCAAGTGAGTGGGAGCTTCCTCTCTACTCCCTTGCCTATCTGTGGCTTTCTTCTGTGACACTGTCTACTGAAGTGGCCCAGCTTTCCACAGTGGAAGCAATTCTGACCTCCTTTATTACCCTTGGGTGGCACTGTATATGAGTAAGACTTCCTTTTCCTGACACAGGCCCTAAACTGGCAGCAATAGCTGCCCCAATAATTTTGGCCATTCTCTGATCTTTTCTCTTCCCTCTTTATTTGTTATACATTTGCTTAAATTTTCCCCTCTTTTAAGCAAATGTATAACAAATAATTTTGAACCAAAATGTGGTATTTTACTTAAAAATAGATCACAGGAAACAAACGCAAAACCAGAAACAAACACAAAAATCAAATGATCTACTGATTTTTGTCAAATATCAAATGAGAATACTATTTTCAAAGGATAATCTTTTCAACAATGAATTCACTAGAGAGAATGCCACCAAAAGAATAAAGATATATCACCATCAAGTCAATTCTGACTCATCATGACCACCTAAAATGTTTAATAGACCAAAATATAATAGGTATGGCTATAGAATGTCTGGAAAGCATCTGAGAAAATATTTATGATCTGT